AGGGTTGGGTCGACGTTTGTATTGCGAAGGTTGCCCTAGACCCGCAATCTTAAGAACATTGAAATTGTAAAAGTCAAAAGCAATGAAATTAACTGGGTTGAGGTTCCGGGTGCTGCGAAAAATGTTTATGGAAAAATTAATTGTAGCCACAGTCATAAAATATATATATATATTATACATATACATATACATATACGACATATACACATACATACACATATACATATACATATACATATACATATACATATATATATATATATCAGACTATTACTATGACTATTACTAATAATAATTTGTATGAAATTATGATTCTATCATATGATAGAATTGACTTGAAACAGCAACTTTATTAAGTCAGTAATATTAAAAAATAATCCAATCCATTCCCATTTTCCATACTGCCGCCCATTTTTATCCAACCGCCCCCATCTGCTGCCGCACGTGGCTCAGGGAATGTCGTTGGCGCCTATCGGGATGCAGCAGCCCCCATACACAGAGGCGCGCTCGAGAGCGCAGACGCATCCACTTGTCAGTCGGCCCTAGAAGACGATCCTTTTCCCATTTTGGGATGAGCTTGGGGTTCTCAAAAAGGACCTCTGCAGTGGCTGCTTCGTAGGTGGCAGCGCCCAGGCTCCACGAATCAGTGAATTGCCCAACAATGGGGGGGCTACACCAAGCCTCTGGCGGACGGTACGGTTTGGTGCACACCGCTTCCACGGTGCCCGTCTGCACCGGTATCTTCTCAGACAAACTGAAGTCGATGAGGTAAAGCCTTCGAGACGCAGCCTCCCAGAGCATGTTCTTCGGCTTGACATCGAGATGCAACCAGCCCTTGTTGTGCAAGTACTCCAATGCCGCGGCCCCTTGGACGAGTACCGAGTCCACGTTCTCGAATTCCAACGGCTTCTTTTTTAGGTGGCTTGCCAGAGTACCAGAGACCACCCACGGCAGCACCAGCCAAGTGATGGTCGCGTTCTGGTTGTAGTCTAACAAGGGCAAAAAGTAAGCCTTGCTGTTCACCTCCTTTGCCTTGTGCAGCATGTCGTAAACCTCTTTTTCCACCTTCATGGAGTTGTCGCCTTCATTCTTGAAGACCTTCGCGACTGCCTGGAAGCCGGTGCGATGAGAGACCACCACAACATCGCCGTACGCACCCTGGGAAACGCGCGAATCCACCCGCCAATCTCCCAAGTGCATGGCCGCTGCCTGGCGAGGACCGCTAGGGTGGCTTGGGACAGCATCTTCAGAGTCAGCCAGGACTGGCGGCCGTGGTATGCCAGCCTCATCCATGGCCCGAACTTTCGCTATCTTCTCCTTGGCAGCCTGCTCCACGAACGGGCGCTTCTCCTCGTCTGACAGAGCTTTCCATGCCTTGGACCATGCGGAGATCCGCTTTCGTTGTTCCTCCACCGACCCCGGCTTGCCCATTGTGGCCTTCTCGGCTGCCAGGAACAAGGCATACGGGTTGCGACACTTCGGCAGCACACCTGCTTGTCGGGCTGCCCTCTGCGCGGTCTCACCTGGACAACTTAAAAATAGGCTACTATGAATTTGGTTGAATTAAGTAGCCTACTTAAGTTTTAAGAGCCAGTGTCGCGAAGTAGAACAGCCCCCCCGCCCCACCTTGGTTTCGCTTGCCGCTCCTCTTCACCTGGTTTTTTTGCACGCCAGTGGCAGCAAGTGCCGAGCTCCCCTGCCCTGCACGCACTCGCTGCAGAGTGCCCAGCAGGGTTGTTTTTCCCCGGATCCTGCCAGGGCGGCGCGTACCGCGCAATCTGAACTTTGACTTATTATGAATGACCGTTTATTAAGATTAAATGTAGTCGTCGTCCTACGGCTGGGCTGCATCAGCGCCCCTTCCGCAGCGTCGCAGGATCTGCTCATGGCTCCCGCAGGCGCCAAGGGCTTCACTGAGAGCTACACCATTTCCTTTGTCCTCTATAATAAATGCCGTCATATGACATATGTCATTCATTATCATCGCCAGAGGTAACTTCAACTGTTTTAAACTCTAAACACTTTTGGATTTTTACATTCGTCATAGGCTTCCCTGCCCTTGAAGAACCAGTTTCGTTTCACCACGAGCACGCTGCAATTTTAGCATTCAGGTACAGTGATTCAATGCAATTTCAGAACAATCCAACGAAGACATTAATCTCAGTCTCTGCATCAAAGCCAACTCCGAGCTGGTGCCCTTTTTTCAGCGGCGGCCTTGGTCGTACCATACCCGCTTGGTTTTGTCGCCCCCCCGCGGCCTTTTGCGGCCCTCAGCCCGCTGCTTTGCTCGCTTGGACTCAGTGCAGGCGGGCCTACTCTCGACCTCCTTTTTGACCTCCTCTTTGACCTCCTCCTTGACCTCCTCCTTGACCTCCGCCTCGGGCGCAGGTGCTGGCTCCAGCTCCGCTTCCTCCGGCTCCACTGGCTTCGCCATGGCTGGCACCGCTGGCTCCGCTGGCTCTATGTTGCCTGCCACCCACGTTGCAGAGCTCGACGAGGCTGAGCCGACAGTTTCCGACTCAATTTTGGAGCTGCCACCCTCGCGCTTGGCCTTCTTTGCAACATCCTGCTCGACGAGGTCCTTGAACTGGAAGTTCGCTGCCCCGAACTCGTTCAGGAAGCTTTCTGTCATGGCGCGTGGCGCGGAAGAGAGGACAGGTCGAAGGCTCGTGGCTGCTCGGCATCATGAGAACATGAAAGGCTGCCTAAGGCAGCGGTTCACAGATCGTCAGGGCAAGCCACTCAAGTCGCACTCCCTTTTCTCTTATTATTTATTATGCCAGAGTGAGAGTGTGAGATGATGTTTCATACTGAATCAATGCAAGTCATATTGAAAAAAAACAATATGTGATATTTCTGAACAGTATGCAACACGCAGCCTACTGCACAGGCTTTTTTTGCTGTCAGCCGTCCCCGTTGAGCTGAATCCGTCTGTTTGGCTGCTGCCGTGCACACTCAGGAGTACGCACTTCGCATCCTTTTACCTGTCGTACTCCCCGTGTCGTAGGATGCCGCCCCCCTTTTTTGGCCGCGCTGTGCTGCTGTCTGCTTCTGGGCACCACGCCTCTCGTTCCTGGCAACCTTCTTCAAGGCGGGCGTCTTGCTTGCCTTCAACGTGACCTTCTTGCGAGTCGCCTTCTTTGCTGCCCGGGTTAAGTCCACCCAGACACCCCTTCCCGTCTTTGCGGGCTTGTTGGTCGCCGCGGCCTTCAGAGCGCCCAGGCGCAGGAGTGACATGCCACAGAGCAAGGCCCCTGCAACACAAGCGCAGTGCATAGTGTTACCAGCTAAGCTGTGTAACTGCATCTTCGTGAGCTGCTGGGGCACGGAGATGCGGTGCATCGGCAGGGCGCTTAAGAGCATCTTCTCTTCAGCGCAGAGGAGCCTGTTCAACTCGCCGCTGAACAACTTGGACCCCGGAGTGACACACGGGGTTTTGCCATCCAACGCCACCGTCTTTCGCTGCAGACTCTGACTCACGTCGGCCACAAACTTGTTGCCCTTGCCCTGTTTCTTCACCTTCTCCACCCAAGTCTGCTTGAGCACCTCCGTTTGTTTGGCTGTCAGGCCAGCGACATTGAACGGCAGACTGGCAGCAGCGGGTGCTGCGTTCTTCTGGGCTGGCTTCGGACCCTTGCTCCCAGAAACCTCTTCCAGAACACATTGTGTGTTGGACGGCAGCAGGTAATCGGCCAGGTGTGGCGGCACCGGCTTCCGGAAACTTTCCAGGAGCTTCCGCGCGAAGTCCGCCAGCTGGCCTGGGTTCTGCGTGATGCACATGTCTTGTCGCACTGCCACGAAGTAGAACCGCGGCCGTCTGGCTGGGAACCCAAACTCCGTTGGGCACACTTGCAGCAGCAGAACAATGTACTCGTGCAGCTCACGCTGCATGTCGACGCGGACCTTCGGCATGTACTTCATAAGACCCAGCACGTTCTCGAACACAGCCAGGCATGGCCGCTTCTTTTTCGCGGTCTCCAGCATTGCCTGCGCACAGTCAGGGCAGAGCACAAAATTAATGATAATCGATAATACTTCGACGAATTAAGTTACGTTACAGTTAATAACTACTTTCAGACTACACCGTCATCTGTTGAAAAGACGTTCGGCCGCATCGGCCTTGAATGGCTTTGCTGCCTTCTCCTTGAAGCCCTTGCTGTCGTTGTGCAGCGAACTGTACGGCTTGCAAGGGAAGCCACAAACATAGATGTGCGGGGCTGGGAGATCTTCCAGCGACCTTGCCAGCATGTCGGACAGGAAGACCTCTGGCTTGGTCACAGCTCGGATAAAGGTCTCCGCGTGCGGCGCATTGTCGCATGCGAAGCAGTGGCGGAAGCTGATCCCCATGGCCCGAAGGCTGAAGATAGGTGCTTCGCACCCCGAGCAATCGGTGCCCACCGTCACCGGTGTGGACGCCAGCTTGGGCTGTGCCGGCAGGTGGCACTCCTGCAGCCAGGCGGTGCGCACAGTCTCCGCTTGCCGCAGCATCCACGGCCCATAACCCTCCAGGTCCCGCAGCATGCGTGCCGGAAGCTTCAGAGTCCCCGACATGGCTCTCTGCTATCTGTCAGCCCCACCCCACGCCCGGCAACTGGGCCAACCTCGCATCGAAGACATAGTGGACATGCTACGACTGCACCTACTCTGCAAACAGCGCAACTCTTCCAAGTACGGCCGCGGGGCGGTCTGTTTACGCTCGTGCTTCAAATCTTTGTCAGCGGTATTTCACCAGTCAGAACTTGTCCTACTCATGGGCAATGGTGCAGCTGCATGATGCACATCCAGATTTATTTTCTTATTGCATATTAATATTACATGACAGTACTAATGACCATACTGTTTCCACTAAGTTCATACTGAAAATATGCAGTAGGGAAACTCCAAAATCAGTATGACGGATACTGCATCTGCTGAACCCCTTGGCCAGTCGTACACGTAGTGGCAACTCCACTGACTGGCACGTTCACTCGCTGCCCATGGTCGGAGCGAAGGAGACATGGTCACGCCTCTTCTTGCTCCTCCTCGTCGTCTACATCTGCCTGCTCGTACTCCTCCAACAGCTCCCCGAAGTGGTCACGTATCAGGTGGGCGGTGTCTTCCTTGAAGAATGCTGAGCCTTCCTTCGCCATCATGTGCAGCACGTGCTTCTCAAGCACGTTCGCCAACCACCCCAGGTGCACCTCGCTGCGCAGCATGCCGAAGTAAGCAGCCTCCGTTGCCATGGCCGCGCGAGCAAGCTCCCCATCACCTGGGGTCAGGTCTACCACTTGGTAGACATCCAGCATGTTCAGAACCGTAATCCAGAACTCCATGGACTTCGTCGAGGCCCAGAAGAGCGGCACCTCGCTCTTTCTCCAGGAGCTGGGCTCCACGGACTCGGGGAAAATCTGGGCTTTTTCCGACTTGATAATCAACGGACCCCGGCGGCTGTCATTCTTCTCAATGCCCACGATGTTCATGTCGTGCGTCGTTGCAATCGTGCCGGGCGGCTTGTAGGAATCGTCCCGATCTTTCACGGACAGCCGCACTCGTGGCACTGACAAGCGCAGGTAGAGGGACTCCAAGTTGGAGCTGCCGCAAAAAATCTTGCGGCTGCGGCCCAAGCCCACACCGCCGGGGCCACGTGCCTGGTACAAGGCGTGAAAGTTAAACAGCCCGCCCCCGCCCGGGACTCTGCCGCCCAAGGCTTTCAAGATGGTCTCTCGGTTAGACGCTTCGCAGCCATCCAGAACCAAAATGAGATCTGAATCTTGGTTCATGGTCACGAGCCACTTCAAGACGCCGTCGACCTCAGACGCATCCACAGCATGTGTCTTGGCGTGGCTTTCGGCCGTCTCTGTCCACAGATCCATGGACAGCACGAAAAGGCGATGCTGGGAGTTGAGGCTGCCACAGAAAGATTTCGCTGAGCTTTTCCCATACACAGCGGCCCACGTGTCCTTGCCCTTCATGATGGCCAGCTGAACTTTCTTCTTCCTCAGGGCTTGGGCTTCCTTCCAAAGCCGGTCTCGCTCGGCAGCCTTTCCAGACTCGTCGCTGGCGGTGCGCATAAGCGATCTCAATGTCATCGGTGCAGCGTTGCCGACGCTGCTGGACGCAGTGAACCCTGCCTTGGACGAGTCGTTCAGAGCCTCACTCAGTGAGAGCTGGAGGGTGGCAGTCAATACTGATTTCTCATTTCCTATACTGCTTAACTGTCAGTATGCAAAACTACAAAACAGTATGCACAGCTAAGACATTGTCAATGTCCAGAGTCCAGACATCTGAATTTCAAAATTTTTATTTCGCGGTCGGCCCCTCCTGTGTAACTTAATCAGATCATCGCCATGCTTGGAACGCGGGGGAGAGAACGGCTGAGGTCCAGGCCGCCATGGCAGCCTTCAGCGCCTTGCCCAGCTTCGTCTCTTTCTCTCCAGTCTGCTGCAGCGTGTCCCAGGGACTGGAGACATTGGTCACGGTTTTCAGGTCGGCTTCGTACTCGCCCTGGAAGAGGTCGCGCACCAAGCACGCAAGGAGCTTCCCACCCTTGCTGCAGTCAGCGGCCAGAGCATCCATGGCATCGATATCTCCCTCCGTCAGGTCACCGCCTGACTTGTCTCCCTCGGCGGCATCAGCATCCCCTGCTTCTTCCGCTGGCATGACGTTGTCGTACTCGATGGGGTTGCAGAGCTTCTCCATAAGCTCGGCGTCTCGACGCAGCGCTGGCTCCTGCTTCTCCCCCATGTCCGCGGCTGTCCTCGCTGCCTGCAGGATGCTCTGGAGCAAGAAGTACTTCGTGCACGCCACAGCGATCCAGCCTGGCCGATCGTTGCCTTTGCTGTCCAGCGTGGGCAGCTTGAAGAAAGAGGCATCCAGGTAGCCGCGCCGGAGACACATGAGCGACACCTCCAAGCAGAAATGGATGACATCCCTGTCTGCGCCGGCTTTGCCACACTGCTGAACGATTTTGCTGGCCAGCTGGCCCAGCCGCATGAGCTTGTTGTAGCCGCTGGTCCAAACCTCTGAGCCGAACTCTCGGTCTACGGAGAGCAGCACGCTCTCCATGCGCTGGCCCAGCATACCCATGACAACATTCAGAGCTGTCACCATCGTCTTGTTGGCCTTTGCACGGTTGAAGAGGATGTTGCGGTCCTCCAGGACCTGCTTCAAGTCCGCAGTGTCCTCGCCCGCAGACTGAAGGTCCGCGGTCAACTTGCGAACCTTCTTCGCGAACAAGACAAACGTGTCCGCGGCCTCAGCCGTGCGCAGCAGTTCGCTGGCGTGCATGGACCATGTCAACATCTGATCCATGGGTGCCTCCACATGCACCCTGACGGTCACCGTGAGCGCCATCTCGTGCAACCGCAGCAGGCGCTCGTCGTCTGCCGATGCCAGCGCCCTCGCCATGGCGGTGAACCAGGCGAAGAGGTAGATTTTGCCACTCATCATGAAAAGATTTGTTGGGAAGCCGTCGCCAGGGGGCACCAACTGCTGGAGCTGGTTGTAGCAGGTCAACGTCTGCGTAAAGTAAAGCCGCCCATCCGCCTTTCTGGCCTGGGCCGGAATGTGTGCCTGCTCGAAGGTCAGGACATCCTCCCAGCTGGGCTCAGCCAGAAAGCTGTCCAGCTCCCCCGCTGCTGCCTGGACGTTGGTGTCCAGCCAGTACAGGCTGCCGCCCGCCTCGTACATACGGGATGCTTTCAGTGATGTGGCCGCGTTGCGAGGCGTCCAGATCTCCTTGAAGTTGCACATGTTGCTGCTGCCCGGCACGTTGTCCCCAATGGTCAAGGGGGAAATCTCCCTCAGGGCAGTGCCCTTGGGACAGAGCTTGGCGGCTTCCAGGCGTGTGGGCAACTCTTGCAGCACCTGAGCTCAAGACTGCGGGCCAGCAAAGTCCCTCGGCTCCGCTACTCACCGGCTGCTGCCAAGAGACCCACGGAACGATCTTCTTCATGATGCTCGTTGCGTCCGTGCGCTTGGACTGCGCGGTCCAGGCAGGCAAGTCGACCTGGACCAGCTTCGGCAGGGGGGGCGGTGGAGGCGCTACCGTGCCGGCTGCTTTCTTTGCCGGGACCGCCGCTGGCGCAGCTGGAGTTGGAGATCGCTTTCGCTTGGCGGCCGTCATGGCTCAGAGCAAGCGAAGAGGATCGAGGGCAGGTCTCAGAACTGAAGGCCAAAAAACGCTAACATGGAATACGGGGGCGGATTTGCGAAAATCTGCCCCCGTATTGGAAGTGATTACGTAACATGCAATACGGTCCAAGAGGCAGGACATAATTGACAGTGTATTCCATGACACGGGCTCACACGCAATACGGGGGCAGATTTTCGAAAATCTGCCCCCGTATTCTATGTTACCAGTTCCCACACAATACGGTCTGGAAAGCCGGAAAGCCTGAAACAGTTTTGACACGCCAGGATCAGGCGAGTTGTGGTGCTGGATCTGCTTCCCCCAGTTTCCCCGTCAGCTCTAAACCCCGCAGCAGGCAGCCTAGGACTCAGTCGCTCTCTGCTTCTGCTGCATCCCCCTCGAAAACCGGAGCAGCTCGGCGCTTCGCGCCAGGCTTGTTTGGAAGCTGGCCTGTCGGCCCCAGTTTCCAGTTGCTCCCCTCACAAGTGAGCTCCGAGTCGTGGCGCGCCAGCCGTCTCACAGCGGCCAGGAACTTAAAGCTGTCAGTCACCAGCCAATCCGCCTCCGCCTCCATGTCGCAGATCCTCCAGCGGGACTCTGGCAGGGCGACGATCCTGGCCAGCCAGCGTGCAACAGCGCCATGGCCGTGGCGAAACTCCGCAGAAAGAAAGATGCCGGCGGGAACCAATTTGTGGGCAGCATCATAGTCCCTGATGTGCCGGCAGCGATTGCGGGTTTTCCAGTGAGCAATGCTGGCGATCCCTTTGCCCAGGGCAACAAGGCCCAGCAACCAGGTGAGCTTCGAAGACCTCGTCGTAGTTCATGGCCAGGCAGGTGATTAAAAAGAAAGATTTAAGACGCAAGACTACTAATAAGCATGCAAAGTGTTACAATAAACAATCTCTTATGATGGCATCCGTGCGCCCAGCACGGCCTTGCTCAACGGCCACCGCATCGTCGACCACCAAGATGGACGTCCTCTGAAAGTCTTCGTAACTGATGTTGCCCTGGCAGCGCTTGTAGCGGCAACCGGGGAAAGCTTCGGCGGCGTTGCATTCCGTGGAGAGATCAGCCACCACCGTCTGGCGCTGCAGTTGGATGCAAGGCCCCTTCTTGAAAACCCTGCCTACCCGCAGAGGCGGCATCAGCGGCGGCTGCCGTGCCAGCTGCCTGGCACGCTCCTGGGCCCTCTCCGCGTTCTTGGACTCCGTCAGCTTCTGGAACTTCTCCAACTCTGCATTCCATCGACCATTCTGCCGGAGTCTCTCGCTGGAACGCTGAGCAAAGCTGCTAAGTCGCATGCCCGGCACCACGGTGGCGCTGTTGCCTGCAGGCGGGCGCTGCATGGAGGCCAATGCGTTGCTGGCCTTAACTTGGCCGCGGAACACGGAAGCCATGGTACCCTGGCGTTTAACTCGTGTCTGGCCTTTGTCGGCACGCTCCTTGTAGCAGCGAAAGCGTCGCCCATGATGCTGTATCCAAAGTTGGGCGCATCGTCGGGTGAAGCTGGTCATCTTCAAGACGGCTTTGTCCGCCAGAGCGAACGGGTCCAACAAAGCAGCTTCGGCATCCTGGGCAACTTCCTCACCGGAGAGCCGCAAAGCAAGATCGGACTCCTGCCGGGGCCCGTCGAGACGAAGCTCGAGGAGCATTGCAGCACAAACGCCACGCTCGTCCAAGGAGGCCTCGTGGTGCTTCAGGAGCTCTCTGAGCTGGGCAAGGTCCCTCTCCACGGAACACTCCCCATCTTGCACACTCACGTAAAAAGCCACCGCCTCCTGCAGGACCTGAAATCGACTCTGGCAGCCCGGCAGTTGCTCGCCCCGCAAAACACGACGCCAGCAAGGGCGTGAGTCCTGCTTCTCGCACGCATTGGAGACGGCAGCCTCGTCTTCCAAGAAGGCATGCACCGCTGCTGACGTCTCCTGCCACAGCACATGGCTGTCCAGACCCAAGGCCCGCGCCAGCCTGGCCGCCCGTCGCTTCATGGATGCGACATTGTCCCCCCATGTGCCGGGGTCGTCGTCGGCCTGGACCTTGAACTGCTGCCACAGAGGGAGGTCGAACAAGGCAAACGCCATGTGCAAGTCCGGCTCGGACATGTCTGAATAACATCTGGAGATGACAGCGTCAACCACCACATGTAGGCCAGACATAATCTCCTTGCACTTGGCTTTGTCCGTGGGCCCCCATAGGCAATGCATGCGGTCGCCATATTGAATGGGAGCCGCTGCCATAGCAGTTCGCACGCCCATGTGCGTGAACGTCTCGGGCAGGATGCTGCCGTCAGGCTCAGGCTCCAGCAAGATGCGCCCCTCACTGAAAAGCCTGCGTAGGCGGCAGACGAAGTCGTCCCGAAGACGCAACGTTGCAGCGATGTCCGGGTCCCTGACATCGAAGTGTCGCACAAAGCGCAGAACCTCCGCGCCGAAATCGGCCGCGAGCCCCGCAAGCAAGATGTTCTCGCCAGTGAGGCGCTCCAACATCTCGCGACATCGATGGCGGACCCGGCCGTCCAAGCGATGGTCCATGCTCTGCGCAGCAAGCAGCAGAGCCACGGGCAGCAGAAGGGCAATGAACTTCCCTTGCGGGCTTGAAAAGGAGTCGAACCTTTGTTTGGCGAAGCTGAGCGTCTTGATTGCCGCTGCCAAATTGTTGTGCTCTGAGGCTCCTTGGGCCTGGCCTGCCATGTTCCCGCTCGCCTTGAGAACAGCCTGTTGCAGAACGTGGAATCGCATCCGCCACTCCGAGGAATTTTGCAGATCTGGGATCAAGGAGTGTTTGGAGCCCCAGACGGCGTGCCACCAGCTCTTAAAGTTCTCCTCCATCGTAATCGGCAATGACGCACGCCTAACGTTGTGCGCCTTGTCAAGGAGGCACAGGACCAATCTGGGGTAGCCTTGCTGCAGAAGCTTCCCACATTTGCGCATTGGTCGACCCCCATCAGAACTGTAGGACGACAGCACCTCCTTGAATCTTTGCATTACATCCACGTCCGGCTGCTGGCCCTTTCCCATGGGGGTTGCGAGGCGCTGCAAGGCCGTCTGTATGCTGAGACAGATCTTCTTGGAATAATCCTCATCCAAAGCTTCTGTTGACGGGGCCTGGCCTGCGTTCCTCAAAACGGAGAGAACACCATCGCCGTCAGCCAGCCACGGCGCCGCCATGGAGTCCGCTGCATCCGTGTCGATCTTCTGCCTGGCACAGCGATACCGCACCACACGGTAGGGAGCCTTGTCGTCCAGGCTGATGGACGCGTGGTCGGCCGTCGCCAGGATGCGGCGTTTGGTCTCCCTGACCACTTCCACCATGATTTCCACCATGTCCTTTATGGCCGTGCGGGTCAGGTGCCTCGCATCCCCACGCTTGCAGGTCACATAGGCCTCCGTCTTCTCATGAGCTTCGGCCTTGAGGAAGCTGATTGGACTGCGAACAGTTCTCCACGCACGAACCCAGTCGTGCAGCTGGGGCACTGCGCCCACGAGGAGACTCGTGTCGCTCGGGTCATGACAGACCAATTGCGACAAGCTGACATCGGGCAGCTGCATCGCCTTGAGGGCTGTGAGGTGGATTGCAGACTGGGCGTGGAGCTGGAGGCAAGATGCCTGCATGCAGTGCACGCTGGAGATTTCGAAGCGGGCCCACTTCGTAGTCCACCTGCGACGCAGGTGCCCTATGCCGTTGTCTCGAAGAGAGGAGGCACGCTGAACCAAGTGTGCACACACGCCACAGCCGATGCCCCATCGCTGGCCCAGACGAGCTGGGCGCTCCTGCAGCCAACAGGCTTGCACGAGACACCCTGACGCAGTCCGCCGGGTGAAGCTGCCGTGAATCTTCTGCCACGTGCCCTTGCGCCTGCCGAAGATGCATCTGGCACATGTCGGGTCGTAGACCTCATGGCACCGAGGCCAAGCTCCGGCTGCGGACGGAGCAGGAACCGGATCTCCACTCAACCTGGGTCGACCACGCCTCTTGGCCATGGCCTTCACGGCCGGTCTCGCCCTTCCTTTAGGCACGCCCTTGGGCCTGCCTTTGGGCTTGGCTTTCGGCTTGGCTTTGGTCGAAGCCTTGGCCGCGGCTTTCGCTTGGGCACGCCCTGTCCAACTCGAGGGCACTGCAGGCACCGACCTTGTCGGAGGGCTGGTGGACGGTCTCGAGCGACTCGAGGAGGCAGCGGACGTGGACTCGGAATATGCGTCATGCATCTGCCTGGCACGACGGGGCGGCGAGGAGCCATACGCAGCTTCAGCGCGGCGCTTCATGGCTGGAAGTGACAACCAGGCTCGCAATATTAAGTCGAGTAATTTCATACTGAATTACTGATTGCCATACTGAATATTAACAGTATGTAACAACCCATAAACAGTATATGCAATGTGAATTGTACTGGGACGCCACATGTTGCTCCGGAGCCTTGTGTCTTGCGACAAGTCGTGGAGAATGTGATGGCGCGATGGCAGGTCCATCCACGCATGATGCTGAACAGAAGCGGCAAAGCCGCTGAACGCGAGCAGAAAAGTGCCACAGCCACTGAATGAGTCATAACCGTCATAACCGCTGAATGCGAGCAGAGGAACACCGAACACTTGACTCACCCCGTTCTTTTCACAGGTCAGCACTCAGACTCCAGTGCAGGTTTAGCGTCAACGGCCATGGCGGGATCGATGCTTCGCCCGTGTGTGACAGTCCTTACTTGGCATTGGAGTTAAGTATTATAGAGCCATCACTTGCCCGAATATTTTAATTAGTCATGGAACATACTAGGGGCGTCTGACTCAGCATGGCACTGAGTCGATCCTGCACCAGGCCGCGAAAGAAGTTGGCTGCGTGAGACCCGGAGGGCACTGCAGTGAAAAGGCAGCTTATAGCCGCACAACTGGGTCCCCGAACCCGGACTCCATCGCAACATTAAGTACATGGCAAGTAGATTAAATTTATTGTGTAACAGTAGTACAATATTCTTACTACTTGTTATTAGTCAAACGCAGACTTTG